TACCTGGTGGTTCGTAGTAAGTTATCTTCTGTTATATTGTTCGTCTGGTCTTATAATTGAGTCCACCACACAACACCGTTTGTCGTCCCGACACGGCAAACCTGACATCTAGCTAGATAGTTAATCTATTCTCTCCCTCTCTATATCTTATCTATATATGTAATATATTTATAGATATCTATATCTAACATTATTTATCTATGTAACTATAACTATCTAGTGGTATCTAACTAACTAATTTCTCTATTTCTCTATGTAACTTACTATCTAGCTATCTATTGATCTATCTACACTGATTCTCCACTAAATACACAATCCGCTACAACACTACTAATTCTCAAAACAACTAAGGGCAACAACAGCAACAAACCAACCTGCTCTGCAAAGAAAAATTCAAATGAACACCACTTAATAGGGATATCCTGTCCCTGAACACACTCTATCCCGCAAAGTGATTCACGACTGTTAGATATTAGTAATTGTTACACCTTAATGTGTTAGTAATGCAATTTAGTAAGATTCAAAGTCTGCTCTAGTCTGTTTTGTTTCAAGGTTAGCAGACAGAATGTTGATTCTGAAAAATCAACCGTGACACCAATTGTTTTCTTATATTAAATTTTCTGTTAGAATATTGTGTCTGAATAAATAAATGAATGCCTTAGCCACACACCACGTGACAACATACACACACATTCAGATTCTTCATTTTGTTATGACTAGGTAGAAATACAGCGGCTCCAAGCATGTGGAGTACTAGATAAGAGATGGAGTCTGTGGAATGACTTCATCTGGGTAAGGGGTTAGCCCAAAACTTATTAAAATGAATTAGGCCCTGTGTGGCCAGAAACTCCTTTTTCCAGCAGCCACTGTGTGGGTCTCTGGACCCGCAGATCAACATTTGCCGGAAATAACTACAGGTGAGCAGGAACCTTTTGCATATAATTCCTGCATATTGGATGTTACAAAATTTAGTTGATCTGTATGGACTGTAAATTCCAGATTTAAAAACTTAACGATTATTGTAAGGATAAAAAACACTTTTATTTTGAAATGTGCTGGTGTTGTTTTTGCCACACGTAAAGTTTCAGGCACATATTCTCATTTGAGGGATAGGAAAATAAGTGCCCTAGTTATAGAAATTGATGACTATCAGAGACGTAAAATCCACGTTAATAAGTAGATAACCACAAATTTTGGCGGTTGTCTCCTAAAAGTATTAGGATTTTTGCTCCGATGGGAAGACTAGCTTGCTGTGAGGTGGAAGTCACAGGCAGAGCCTTCTTCGGGTGGAGCACAATTCTGAACGTCTAAATATTTACAAGACAATCATTTGTAACTGTTAAATGACAAAATGAAGGCACAGGGAAATATTTTTTGTATTCTTTACCTGTGGGTGGATTTCTGCACGAAGGCTGTTGAACGCTGTCGCATGTGTCCTGTAGTAACAAGTGCTACTTAGAGAATTCCATGTGAAACAGTGTACTTCTCATTGGTAAAGAGGTTCATGGGTATGTGGGTAAAGAGGGTGTGCTTGTGTAATTTATCTAGATATGTATATCTAGCTAGATAGTTAATCTATTCTCTCCCTCTCTATATCTTATCTATATATGTAATATATTTATAGATATCTATATCTAACATTATTTATCTATGTAACTATAACTATCTAGTGGTATCTAACTAACTAATTTCTCTATTTCTCTATGTAACTTACTATCTAGCTATCTATTGATCTATCTACACTGATTCTCCACTAAATACACAATCCGCTACAACACTACTAATTCTCAAAACAACTAAGGGCAACAACAGCAACAAACCAACCTGCTCTGCAAAGAAAAATTCAAATGAACACCACTTAATAGGGATATCCTGT